TGTTTGAAGTGTCTACGTGAAGCCAAACACCCAGGAAGGAAGGGAGGAGAACTGGATGGGCAGCACAGCAAGCAGACAAAGCAACACAAGATGAAAGATCTGAACAGGCATGGTGAGCAGGAGACCTCTCAAAATCCCACCACTGGCTGGCAGAGGGTCCACAGGGTGCCAAAATCAAGACAACCAGAAAATAACCCGCAATGAGAGAGTGGCAAACGCTGTTTCAGGGGTGCAGAGGCTCAGATTTACAGCCAGGCTCCTCCTGCCTCACTCGCAGCGCTCCGGAATCTGGGTTAGCAAAGCCTCAGGGTCCCACTAGGAACAAAGAACATGGGAAGGGCTGTGACAGGCGAGGATGGAGCAAGGGAAGAGCTGCAGCACACGCTCCAGCAGCCCCGACAGCTTGGGAAGAAGGGGAAGATGAAGGCGACAGCAGGCTCCGAGTGTTTAATGAGCACAGTCGAGCTGCCAAGGCACAGGCACTGGCAGCACAGCTTTGCTACCTGGAGATGGTGGATAAAAGGCTGGCATTCAGGAAATGGGAATACCAACTGTAAACATCGAGGTTTTCTATTAAAACACTCAAAAAAATCAAGTTCACGGCGCTGTACACCGCCCACGTTCGGTGAAAGGGAGGAAACAAAGGCGCTCCTGTCTCTCTGTGTGAATTTCTAATGGAGTGCTCGGTTCCCTTTCAGCAGGAATTGTGCTGCTGGAATGGCAGCGGGGCTCAGGGAGCAGAGCATGGCTCATCCATAATGCAGGAACACCCACTGCACCGAGCCTGTCAGGAAGGACAGCACTCCTTAATATGAACAACAGTAGTCTGGGAGGCGGATGGTTAAAAATATATATCCTATGCCTGTGCCACTATAAATTATTGACTCTACAGAGAGCTGGAAAAAAGGGATTCAGTGCCATTAATAATTTATTTTCTAATCCAAACGAAGATGGAATTTTATGCACCACTTATTACCAGCGCTGCAACTGGAAAAACTCACTGCACTTCCCACAATCTGAAACCAGAACTGCCTTTCCATTTTCAAAAGTTTTTTTGAAGTTTCTCCCTTAGCTTGAGACATACAGCAAAGCTTTTCCCTTGGGAGAGCATCTGGTCACTCCTGAATATTTAGTAGGCATAAGGATACAGAGATGTTTCTCTGCTTTAAAGCAGTGTTTATATCCACAGCACGACAGCTCTGCGAGGAGAAGTCTCTCTCTTCACTCCCAGCCTCATGCACAGACAGGTATCACAACAGCTCTGCTGCTCTGAGAATACAAATTTGGAGCAGCATTGAAAGATTTAGCACTGATTGCTAAAGCACCAGGCACAGGGGGATCCTTCAGGCATGACACTGCCTAGCTGAAAGACCTGAGGGAGGTGGACCAGACCACAGTGGTGCTGGAAAACCACAGGGTAACAGAGTCCTGTCTGCCCTGAAGACAGAAATTCACACAGAGAGATCTTCCTTTTTAACACTTACCTCTGAAGAAAACCATCCCTGCTCCACTTGGTGAAGAAAAGCAGGGAAAACCACCCAGAGTGTAATCAGGTAGGAGATGAGCCCAGGACTGCACATGCAGGCAGGAGGAACACATCCCCTCAAACCATTTTGGGTCAGGAAATGTTCCATCACATCTGATACTTGATATAAAACCTGAGAAACACACGCATTTGTACGTCCAGGGACAATTCCAAAGGGGTGAGATGAATCCTCTCTGCATCTTCCCTGAAGCTTAGGTAGGCAAAGATTGTCAAGGGGAGAAAGAAGCAAGCACCTTGCTTAGAATTCTAATTTATTATTAAATTACATATCAAAGCCTTTTATTTAAATACATACAGAGAATGCACAATAGGTGAGAACAAAAATAATTACAATTACAATATAAGTTTCAAGAACATGTATGAAAAGAAAAAAAAAATAATCAGAAAGTGCAATCAGAAACTCATTTACAAGGCCTGGGATGTTCTGTGAGAAAGGGCTTTGTTTTGGGTGTAGAGTGTTTATTTAAATGCTTTCTTCAGTACCACACAGACCAACAGCTCCTTTTGTACTCAGAACTAAAACATCAGCACTGGTTCAAATGTGCAGTGACAGGAGAGGTGCTGGGCACAGAGAGCACTTGCAGATGTAACCTGGAGGCTCAGTGTGTCTCTCACTTCAGTCTTTTGTCCTGCACATTCCATAATCCAATTCTGTTATACAGAGTTTCAGAAGCATTTCCTCCTTCAGCACTCACAGCTGTTACCCTCTCCTTCCTGTCTCAAATAAAAGCTTTGGGACAAAACCAGTAAAAATAGGAAAAGGTCATGCCTCATGTGATCTTGGGAAATAAGTTGCTACATTTAGAGAGTTAAAACTCTCATTTAGTGGTGACTAAATGAGCTGCACCATCAGAAGTAGTGGAGCAGCTTTGGCTCCCTGTGCAGCAGTTCTGGGAAAGCAGCACCTCAGGGGACACAGCCCTGGAGGACAAGCAGTGAACAATTCACCTGACACTTTCACATCTGCTAAAAATCTACTTTTGCTCTCATTTTCAACATCCAGCAAGGAACTGACTCTTCTCACATTAATCTTAAGACAATGCAACAAAAGGACTTCCAAACTACAAATGAAAAATCTAGTTGATTCCTCAGTGCCACGAATCCAGCAGGAATTTATACCTGACTTTGATATGTAAAACTCCTGAAATCAATACTGGTTAAGAAAAAAAGGTTGCCCAGGAAGGTCAAAGCCCTGGCACTGCCCAGGGGAGAAGCTACAGCTGTGAACACAGTTCTGGGTGCTGCCCAAATGCCACTGCTTTGTTGCAGCAACCAAAGACTGAAGGTCAGGTAAAAAATAGTCTAAAGAACAGGGATAAAAATATTCCCACCTGTGTGAAGTGTGGCATCGTTACCAACACGATCCTTTGTGTTCCAGTGCCTGGCCAGGTTTGAAGAAGCTGCTTATCTGGGAGGAAGAATGAAGCAGAAATTGAGGAAGAGTGTCTGTGTGTGTGAAACACACCCTGTAGAAATACCCTGGATTTCCCACCTTCATTTCAGTGCTCAGCAATGATTTTCTTAGCACGCTTCTGTTGGGTTGAGTTAGGAAACCGCCACTTTGGCAGGAATTGCAGGAATGAGAATTCTTTAACCGTCCCTTTTTTCCTCAGAGCAAGAGGAACAACACAGAATGAAAAACTCCAAGAACACATTTAGCAACAGGAGACACACAAACCTGTATTTTGGGATTTGAGGCAGAATGCTACAATCCACTGTGTTCATTTTTCCAGTCCATTGTTCTGACCACAGGCTCAGGCTATTAGAGATGAATTATGAGGCTGATTCTCTTGAATTTGGAAGTCTTTCCCTGGGCCACATGCAAACAACACCCCTCCAGGGAGCACAGCACAACACCCGCTCACTCTGCCAGATGATGATGAAGGGAAAACTCCAAAGATAATTAAATGTATTTTTCAATACAAAACTGACTCAAAACCAGCACAAACAAAAACCATGGAGGGGCTGCCAACACCAAAACCGTTTCCAGTAAAGCTTTATCAGAGATAATTCAGCATATTTCCATTATTTTTATACTAAAATATATCAGTTCCTTCATAACATTTTCATAACATGAAAATTCAATTATGTTTACATATTTATTATAATCTACATATTTTCCATAGCAGCTTTTTTTCACAATAAGATTAAATATATGCACCAAATAATCAGTTATGCCCAATAAAAAGACTTGTTATAAGATTAAATAAATGAATTTATTTATGGTACTGCAGATCTTATATTGCCAACTATAAAGCAACCAAATCCTACAAATCCTAAACAGATGCACAAGTGCTGATCAGGGTCCCTTAGGGTGGAGGAGGAATCAAAGAAAAGGCAACAGGGAGAAGAAGTTTGATCTCCCAATACACAGATCCATTAATAACCCTCCTTTATCCATCAAGCTTTTTCATAAACCCCCTTAATAAACACTTCATCTCCAAATGGGAACGCTCCCAAATCAAGCAAATAATCACCCTTTATTTTAAATACAAGCCCCACAGTTTTACACGTATTAATTCCAAATGCTTCCAAATCCCAAAGGCAGGATGGCTGATTAGAAGCCCTTGTTGAGTTTTTTAGCACAGGGTTATTAAGTCTTCAAAGAAGCCTTTAAATCCAGACATTTTGGGTGTAACAGTGTGGGTTTGCACACTACACAAGTCTCTATTCCCTCCAACACACAGAGGACTATAAAACACTATAAAACAGAGTAAAAAATTGTGTCTGTCCCACTGGACTCTGCTCCAGAGGAGAACCTGGGGACTGTGATATTTGTGGGTGACAGAATACATAGAATCTGCTAGGAGAACTGTAAGTGGATTGTGAAGAGAGTTAATCAAGTTCTTAGAAAGGTATTTCACTGCCAAGGCTTGAATTTATTGGGTTATGATATGACAGATGGAAAAGTGCTGTTGAAAGAGCAGAAAAATCTGTAATCTGGGAAGCTGAAGTATCAAAGCCACTGCAGATGTCAGCTTTGTTTACAGACAAACAACAGGATTCTTTTTGCCTGTCCAGACCAAAAAGAAAGTGTTCCCCACCCCAGGTAATGGTAAATAACACTTGTTTCACTATTCATACATTCAGCTCTTTGCTAGGAGGAATTACATCCAAAGCCTTTGCTCACAGACACCTCTGCCTCAGCTATAACCATCATTTTCATTCCCAATCAACCATTTAGATAATATCCTTCTTACTACACTATCAGAGGAACTTCATCTAAATTACAGTATAGGCTTTGTAAACAGCTTATTGTGTCTTTATTATAAAGATCTTTATGATGCCAGCGAAAATCAAAGTATTGGCACCCAAAAGATTACTTCAGGTGAACTCATGTTTGGTCACTTTTCAGATGACTGAACACTTGAGTAAACAGCTGCTGGGATACTGTGTTCCCTTTTTACACAGGGAGACTTGGTCAGTCCCTTTAAAGCCACAAGAAATCTTATGATCTCCCTCAGAGGGTACTTTATTTGTATTCTGTGCAAAAAGTGAACAAAAACCCCCCTTTATTTTTTTTTTTGTTAACTTTGAAAAATTTGTGTGAAGCACAGTTTTCACAGCACAAATTATGCAGAAATAACTAGAATTTCAAGTTAAAAGGAGTTAAAAAGAATGACAGAACATGTATTTAGTAATGAAGCAACCTGAAGCCTTAAAGCTGCAATATTCATCTCTCAGGGTGAAATTCAGTTCTGGGCTGGGATTAGAAGGAAAAGCCTTCCTGCTGAGCTTCCACCCAAGGCAAATTTAATCCTTTCCCACTCCCCAGCCAGCACCAAACCTCCCCAGCACTGCTGAGCACTGAACTGTTCCCCCAGTTCTGGTTAAGCATCCCATGGGCACTTACTTTGCAGTGAGAAAGGGAATTAAAGACAAACAAATCCCACCAAATTTAACCCAAAGGAAGGTGAACAGCAGGGGAGGAGAAACACTGCAGCTTCAGCCCAAGCCCAGTGTCACAGTCTACCATCAGAAGCTCCAGACATCATGCTGACAGCCCCAGCCACAAGCAGGCTGAGGAAGTCTGATGCTTCCCCCACTCACTTTTCCTTGGCTGGGAGGAGGGAAGGTGATGATGAGTTTTAGCAGAGTCCAGGGGGTGAAACATCCATCAATGGAAAGCATACAAGAGCAGCAGGATGGTGCAGATGCCGATCACGCTGCCCAAAATGAGGGAATCCCGTCGCTTCCGGAGGTTGATCCTTTGGATCAGGCTGTTCACTGCTGGAAAACGGTCTTGGAGGGGTCTGAGTCAAGGTCATAGCAGCAAACAGGAATTCACCAACAAGCCCCAAAGCCTGGATGGGGAAATGCCAACACTGCAACTACTCCCAAGGGGGAGGAAGCAAGAGCAGTAAACCCTGATGGACAGGGAGCAGGATTACAACTGCACTTCACTGACTGCAGACCAGCAGAGAAAAGGGAACAGCCCAGAACTCACAGCCTTTTAATCTCCAAAATGTGAGGCTTAGTTACTTTTAGTAATTGTGTTTAAATGAGAATGAAAAAAAATGGGGTGGTTATATAAAACAACTCTGGAATTTCTTCAAAGAGATTCTGTTACTGGTGAAGAGAACAACCAAAGGCATTTGACTGAGAAAATCCTGCACACTGCATGAACCACACACTGTGCAAGCTCTGTAAAACCAGGAGGATGTAAATCTATCTCTTAATGTACAAAATACAACTGCCAACAAGACAATCAGCTTCAGATATTTGGAGTCAAGAATCTTTTTAAGGCCAAAGCTTATGGAAATTTCATTGAAATGTTCTTGCCAATTGCTAAGAACTGTAATGAAATTTCTGGGTTACCAAGATGCATCTTTCCAGGACGTCATGTGTCTGATCAAACAGTGCTGATGTTGTCCACTAACAAAAGGAAAGGAGTAAGTGGGAAAACCACAAATGTGCCTGACTTGACAACGTGGCACAATCTTTAGCCCTGAGACAGAATATCCACAGAAACCAACAAGCCAAAGTCTTAACATCTACAAGGGTGTGACAGACAAGAGGATACTCCGGCCCTGACTACTCTTAGCTGTAAACTACAGCAAGCAGTGATGAACACCAAGCTTCAGCTTTTTTGAAAGGAAAGAGCAGGACTTGAAATGAAACTATACTTCTGCAAAAACATACAGCAGGGAAGGCCATGAAATGCTGCTGCAGACCTCTACCCAAAAATGATGTTAATTTATAATGTGTATAAATGCAGTGCCCAAATTTGACTGAAACCAAATTATTCACCGTATTTACCATAAGATGCTTCAGTCAGGTTATCAGGTGAGACTGATAAAAATCTGTCCTGTTTGTAACTGGTGACAGTACAGGTCATAGAGCCACTGACACTGCTGATCCCTCAAATGACAGAGTGAAAAATTGTACCATAACTCTTCTTAGGCACAGGCAGCACCAATTTTTAGGAAAACAAAAGGATACTTGCCAAGGTATTCATCTTGCTTTGTATTGACTTCAACATCCCTCTCTGCGAAGTCATATTTTCTTTTGTTGCCATGGCAATGCTGGGGAAAGAAAGAGGATCGAGTTGTTGGTGCTAAGAATAATCCACAGCTCACACAAGAGGAGAACAAGCAGGCAACGCTTCTTCAGAGGACAATGAATGGGGTGAAGCAACATGAATGAAACCACAATTTTTCCATTAATCTCTATCTTTTACAGTTAAACAATTTCAGTTTTATATAAACTCTTAACAGGGTGAAACACTGAGATTTCTTGAAACAGGCAGAGTTTGACTTTTCTCCTCTAGCCCCAATGAAAACTGGTATTACCTTATAAGCAACATAAGAATTATGCTCTCATGGCATAAGCTTTAAATTTAGAAGTTTGTTTCATCCCAAATTATGCTTCCATCACAGCACAGAAAAAACTCCATTTCTGAGATCTGGTCCTAATTAAGAATATCCCCCATGGTATAGAAGTTCTCATTTTCTTTGTTTCTTTACCAATACAGGCAAACATGAAACAGAATTTCCCATTTCAAATTTAAAATGTTTTGGAGGTCAGTAAAAAGCAATTCTGCTCTTAAAAATAAGATATTAAATGAAGATTATAAAGAATTTCTCAGTTGATGAAGTTTGGGCTCTGAAGACACAGTGCCTGAGAAAGAAAAATATGGCAAATACTGCTCCCCTTGCTGGCATGTGTTTCAAAAACACATAAAGCAGGGCATAAATACAACAAAGCTGCATAATAACTCAGGAAAGTCACCTCTACTGCTGTTGACTTCATCTGCAGGAATACCAATGATTAAAACAAGTTCTTGGATGAGTTTGTGAGCCTTAAATATGGAGGGGAAATGTTCTGGAGGAGTGAAAGTTAAGTGGAACAACACAACAGATAAATATAAGAAAAGGAAACTGAAGCTGTCATTTCAGAGGCAGGAAAATGTGAAATGCTGCTTTCACCTGATACAAACATACAATTTTTCAGTGCAGGTATTTTAGTCCTCTAAAGTAACAAACAACAAACTCGCAAAACCACTAAAAATTGATGTTAAGAAGAGCACTCAGGGAATTTTGAATAACTGAGAATCAAATTAGGAAAAAGAAATAATTTCCTGTCTGCACACAGGAAAGTCTGTTCAGTAACCTACAGATTCCCATCTCCCACCCCCACACTGACTTGATATTTGTCCAGATGAGTTTTTAATACAGAATCTCTCAAAGCACTTCTGAATTAAGTCCCATATATTGGAAAGATGCATCCAATGACTCATTAAAACATCCCTTCATTTACAGAAGTGAAAACACAAGATGATTGCCAGTATATAAAGTGCTCCTGAGCCACCTCCAAAATGCCCTTAGAAATAATTGTTCACAGAACACAAGGTTCCTGCTTTAACATCTGGGGAGTGAAACTGTCCATTTCATATAAAAAGGCAGGATGTAAAGGGTTAAGAGATAGAAATCAATGTAATTTTTTTTTTCTCAAGTATTTTCAAGAATTTAGCTCAAAGGGCTGGGTTTTTCTGGAGAGCTCTCAAGGGAAAAAATGGGATAATTACAATTTTTAATAAGATATGGTCTAGTAATGAAATGTAATTGTGATATTCATGAACAAGAGTTTACCTGGATTTCAGCTACTATTAACAAATCAAAATTCAAGCAAAAAGCAATGCTGTTCACGTATAATTTGATTATTCAAACCTTGAGCTGGTTTATCTAAGCCTTTAGATCTGTAAAGGAGATTATTAAATTTAAGAAGCAGCAGAAAACAGAGTTCCTGGGGATGAGTCCAGAGATTGGTCCTGTATCTTGAGCATTGCAGCTTCCTCATATCCTTCATCAGACAATTTTGGTTTCATTCCCATCCCTGACATATGTTCATTGACTTGCTACTGCCATTGCCTCACTGACAAATGCATATTTTAAAAAATTAATCACATTCTTCCCATTCACAATATTGGCCCCATTTAGCCATTCCCCACCACAACCTCCCCAGATCACCACGACCTGGTTCTGATGTTCTGGAACTCGCCTGCGACGTTTACGATAAAAAGATGAAACAATTCTTACTGGAATGGAGATGACCCCGATTTAACATTTCACTTGGAAACCAGCAGGAACTATTCTCAGTGCTGCACTGGCTGAACTACCAGAGCTGGGTGTAAACCAAGTTTCTAAAACCAGATGGTACCTGTCCTGCTCTCTGTATTTAATATTAAAGCCTTGCTCAAGTACAACACTCAGCATTGCTGCACTACTGGATAAATCTCCCCTAGCTAAACCCAAGGTCACAGCCATCAAATACCCACCTATCTCTTCCCCAGAGCAGCAGGAGTATCTCAAATTCCTGTACTTGCAGCAATATTTCCCTCAAAATTTCTGCCACATTCAAAGTTTGCCCTTGATTGTTCAGTAGTGCCATGGGTACGTGAGCGACCAAATTTCCCTCCAAAGCAAACCCAACTGATATTTGTACTTAGTTTGCTGTTTTCACTGGCATAAAAACCCCAGGGTAACAAACACATCCAGGCATTATCCCAGATGGACAAGTCTAACATGCAGAGATACACTTTTAATGCTGCCTAACTTGGAAGCAAAGAGTTTTGACTTAAATTAAGTGTTTAAGCTGTTGTTATTTCACACCACACTGCAGCCACATCCATCCAGTGTCACTGAGGGAAACGTACCAAAAAATCAACTCATGGCTTCACCCATTGAGACGTGAAATCTACACTGCTGGAGAACTAAAACAAAACTCTAAAGAAAGAAGTTGTGTTATTAAAAATCAAATAATTCACGTATTACTGGAAATTCCACTTCATTTTGCATGCTATGAATCATACTTGCTCATTGAAATTCATGACAAGGGCTATGATTAGGGAATGGACTCTGCGACTGCACAGAAATGAAAGCTCTAGGTTTAAATTGGTAAAAATTCTGATTGCATCACTTATTCTTTGTCTGGTGATACATTTCTATATTTGTACCTCTGAATATACACATACGTGCGTGTATCAATGCATACCTACACACACAACCTAGCAAATTCCTTTAAAGAATATTGTTTCTTTTGATGAAGCCTAAGATGAAAACAGAAGAAACATGTCCCCAGGAATGCCAGTGATTTTGCCTGGACACTCTGGCAAGGTGGTTGTGAAATGAGAGAACTCTCAAAACATAGCTCATGCCTTTACATTCTGAAAAGTCAATACTCAATGCAGCTGAGTTTTTCCCTTTTATTAAACCCTAATTATTACCTAAAGAGATAGCCCAAATATATAAGGAGACAATTTTTTTAAAAAATGAAATCTATGGCTTTGGTCTGGCTTCAATCTAATCTGTTAATATACAAACACTGATAGATCAGGCCTCAGAAACAGAATTACAACAAAAATCCTACGAACTTATCATACTGTACAGGCAAAACTATAAAAAATATTCCAACTGAGCCAACATAAAAACACAAGTTGTTAGAAAACAAGAAATAAATGGTCTGCTATTTTGGAGAAGAGATAATGTTTGAAAATGAAAACCTGAGAACTCCAAACATATTAAGCAAAATCTCTGCTTATATTTAAATCTGGCCAAGAGAAGTGAACGCTGTTCCAAAAGAACTGCAGTACAAAGTATCACATCCCACTCGCTTCTGGAGAGAAATATGCTGCAGTAAGAAGCCATGGCATGTAATTCATTTAAAAAATGATTAAAACTTTAGTAATAACGACACATCTGGAGTGACAGCCCTGCTCACTGCTTTAGTTACTGAATCATTTCAGCTCAGGTGCCCATTTATTCCCTGGCACGGACGTTTGCTCTGTGGAGGACCATGCAGAGGAAGAGTCAGACTCCTCACTTCTCCTCCTGACAGAAATTCAGAGCAAGGGCTCACAATTAGTGGCTGCAGCTTGTCAACAAAAGCCTCTGCACACACAAAAATGTGCTTTCCAGTGTTTATAATCAGTGCTTACTAACAAACCCTAAGGAAATAAAAGTGTGAAGTGTGAAGGAAATAAAACATGATTTCCTGACTTGCTTAATTAAAAAATGAGTAATGAACTGCAGCAGATGTAAACCTCGAAGACAGAGCAGTAGCCAGAATAAGCTAATTACATCTCAAGGAATCTACCCTCAAACAGGTTCTTCTGCACAATTCCCTCTTTTATTTGGGTTACAATAGATAAAACAAGTGGTGAGTTGGGTAAACTTCCATCTAGTAAATTCACTTAGAAGGCAGCAGGATTTACCATCAATTAATGTCACACCCAAACACTTGCCACTACTGGGGACCATAAGGAAAAAGGAATTCAACAAAAAATTCACCTTGCTTTTAACAGAGGCAGAAGTCAACTCAGATATAAGTGGAGCTACATTTCCTACTCCATGTAGTTACTAAACAAGCTCTTTTTGTACCAAAAAAACTGTAGAATTAGATTTAGAAATATTTTAGAAATACATTTTTGGCAACAATTAAAACAAGAATTTATTACAGATAACAAATGGTGCAAGGTTGAAAACTCTGAGCTCCTTTGATGACACAGAATCATGAAGCCAGGCCAATGACATAATTACAAGTAATTACAAGTAATTTTGCAGTATATTAGGAGTAATAAATCACCATATGCTGTTTAATGCTCTGCTTACTTGCAGTGGCAACAAAGAAGAAATTCACCAAACACTGAGGGTTTTTGGAAAGGAAAAGTAGGGTTATAAGCATGGAAATATAGGAGAGGTTTTTAATGAGGAAAGGACTAGAACCCAAAACAAATACAGCTGGGCTAAGCTGGAGAAATATTTTCTGTGAGGCTGTGGTGAAATTGCACCCACATTTTCAGGTATTATTGCACTGATCAATTCTGATTCATCACTGCACACTGATGCGGTTTAACACATTCTTCCTCCATGTTAATTATCTTGAGCCCACTATGTGTACTTAATCCAGCCAGCCCCTAATGGACATAGCCTTGCTGCACCTCCAGTTCCTCTTCTTGGTCATTTATGTCAGTACAGGCATTGTCTGAAAGCATAACTTATTTGCTTTCTTCCTTTTTTGTTTTGTTTTAAAGCACTAATCTAACATTTAAAGCCATTACATAGGGCATTATTACAGTTTGAGTTATTGGTCTGCAAAATGTTGTCTTGGGAAGGGCACAGAAAATAAAATTTATGCTGCTACAGCTCTAGAGTGTCTAGATCAGTTAGAGAAGGTATCATTTAAGTACTCAAACAGTGTAAGAACCTCAAAAGATAAATAAATGTACAACAGCAATAACCTCCCAAGCAGTTGTGGTAAAAGCCCTTACCTATATCAGCTGCACACTGGGTGCTGAATATTCTGAATACATTGAAAGATTACAGAAATCAGGTTTTAGATGAGTGTCACAGTGAGAAGGAATCTTGACTACTGGAATAGCCCTCAACAGCTCAGCCTGAGATCCATTCTGCTCCAAAGTTGATTCACCTTTGAGCAGAAACCCAAATTTTCTAAGCTAGGGTGAATAAAATATTTAAGCAACATTCTTATGTCAATATTGAATAGAAAAACCCAAACCAAACCCACCAACAATTCATTGTAATACTGCCAAGGAGCTGGAAACAATACAGTTATTGTATAAATATAGTGACTGATATATTTAGATACAATTTAATGGAAATGCTGATTATATGGAAAACAATGAAGATTTTTACATTCATCCTTACCTTATTGTTTCTTCTATCAGTCGATCTGAGCTGAAAGCCAAAAGAAAAAAAAAAAGTTAAAAAAAGTAACAAGCACTGAGTACTACTTTAGATCACTAATCAATGATCCCCATCATCATCCTAATAAATCTGCCCTTAGAATATTTTGTTTGTGGATGTTGTCACATTTTGCTACTACATAGGTTTGGTTTATATGGACTTTGGAGAACATGCACTGGAATATCCTCTGGAGCAGCACTTCCTAAGCGTAGCAAGAACAGCTGCTCAGGAGAACACATAAAACACAGAGAAGAAAAGAAAAGGGGAATTGGCACCGTGATTTATGGAGGATTGTTTGGGAAGGAGTATTAGAGAAAGGAGTAGCTGATTTTATTGCTTTTTAATCCTGCTCACCCCTTCAAAAATGTCATTAATGATTAAGAAGCTGAGACGTGGGTCCATCTCAGAACCCTGCTCAGGATTAGCTGCCCAAACACTGCCTTATACTGGCAAATTCCTTCTGTGGCAACATCAGCTGGCTGATGAGAACTGAACTGATGGAAACACAACACACACCACATGTGACAGAAAGCCCTGGGTGACACATGGCTGTCCTCCCTGCCACACATCGATCCCGTTCTGTGCAGCATCCCTGGCAACAGGGCAGCCTCAAGCACAGCACCAGAGAGGACATTTCATTTGAAAACCAGACATGCACCACTAAGGAGAGTAACAGCATCCTCGAAAAACTGCAGCTATTTCTCCTTTTCTGTACTCAACTTCCACACAGGGTTTTAATCACTGCTTTGCAGCCAGTTGTGAAATGCCAGAAAAACATCTCCTGTTACAGCAATCAGTATCTCCAATGTAACCTCGAAGTGGAACAGGTGGCTGCATCATTCCCACTTCCCACAGTGCAGAAATAACAACGCACCCCTACAACTGCTCCATTTATCCCACTGATTCATACAAATTCTTGGAGAATAACTGCAAAAAAAAATAATTGAGTTTGCAGTTTTAGGAGGAAATCAGCTGACAGAAAAGTAGTTTTATGTTGTACTGGCTACTGCTTTCAGTATTAAATCAGAATTTATTGCTTCCAAACTCAAAGATGCCAACAGGGCACGGCCATCTCCATCCTCCACCCTCCTCATTCCAAGTGTTTTGCCAACCCCCTGAGCAGCACAGCTCTGCCTCTGACTCAGCCGGAGCTGCCTAATTTGGAACTTTTCTTCTTCCCACAGGAATTCTGGAGATCCCCCCACAGCTCTAGCTGGAGGTGGGGTGAAGGAGCTGGGCAGCGAGTGCACATGTGTGACCTGCTCGGGGAGGGGGAGAGGCAAACAGAATAATTTGTCTGTGAACAGGAGTGAAAACACGAAGGTTGCTATTCCAGACTGTCCATGGATTGAAATATAGACACAGAAGAGAGCACTAAAAATATTTTGCTCAATTTTAAGCTGCCAGGGACTCAACTGGGGGAGCAAACAGAGCTACGCTAAGACTCACATCAGTTGTGAGCATGTTGGTTTAAGCAAATAAAACCAGTTTTATTCACTGTGTGGTGTTTATTACACTGGCACAGAGGAGGGAAACACCCTGGCTGTGTACACAGAGCAGTCTCACAGCATCTCCCAATGTCCCCAAGGCAGGCAGCACAGGAAAGCAATGCATTACGGATTTCTGTTATTGCTGAGTCTCCAAGAGACACAATCCAGCTGAGAATGTGCCTTTCATAGATGGTCTCTAACAGACAAAGTGTGTTAAGTAGGCAGGGCATAATAAGAATAAACTGCAAAACCATTAGAAAACAGCCTCAAAAGCAAGAACAGTGCACAAGAATGAATAATTTTAGAAAAGGTTCAATTTTTAAAAAATTTTCATCAATTAAAAGGTATTAAAAATCTTGTGGGAAACAGGTTATACTTAAGAAAATTCTATGGAAGAAAATATTAGAACAGCCCTATTAAAAAATCTGCCTTAGAAAAACCATTACCAGCTCTTCATCCATTTAACTGATGAAATGATAGAATTTTTATGGTTGATGAACTGAAGATGACAGAGAAGGTGAACATTTTACAGACCTCAAGTGAACTAGAATGTCCTCCAAGGCTTTTAGAGCACCAAAATTAAGCTTGCCAGCTTGCAGCAGGGACACTTACTGCTTTTTATGTTAGAGAAAGCTGTAGATGGGCAGTTTTATTACTTAGTCAGACACATAAAGACAAAAAGTTATTTAAAAGCTTCAGATTACATTACACTGCTTTATTTTTATATTTGTATGTATGTTTATACACACACAAAAATAAACTCTGGCAATGTGGCTACCTGTAAAATGATGACAGAAGGTTAAAAACTAGACAAACCAGTAATAACCAGCTCTGAACACCATCACACAGGCATGAGCTGCAAATGCCAACACAGGGCATTTTCCAGGCACCTGAAGGCTGAAGATCAACATTTCTCAACTTGTGTGGAGTCACCCTAAATATTGAAAAGGATGAGATACACAGGAATTGTCTTCAGAATGAAGATGTGTAGGTAAGGACAGACTAAAAGGAAGCACAAATTTATTAGCACAGCTTCCAGAGTGTTCCTCCCACCCCAAGAAGAATCAGCTCTTGAGAGGATTTCCAAAGCCATCTCTCCTTGGAAGGTGAACAAACTGCACAGGAAATATCCATGACACTCCCTGATGTCCTGGTAAAGGCAGTCAGTGTGAGCAGGAACATTTCAGGGATTCTGATGTGCAGATTTGGATTCCTTGGCAAATACAGATTGTAAAGTTCACTCACAGTGACACCCAAACAGAAGCATCTGTTTCATTCATTTTACAGCTCATAACCATAAAAAAAAGTCAGATTTAAGGAAGATCAAGAACACAAAATACAACAGGGCCCAGAAACATAAGGGAAGCTTTCAGATCTCTGACTATTAATAACCTGTTCTCCACAAACAGAAGCTGTTCTCACAATTAAAAATAATGTTAATTTCAATCATTTGCCAGAATAAAAAAATATCACTGAATGAGGCAATTGTGCTTAACTTACATATTCAAAACACTACAAAAAGAAGCTCTTAAAATCTATCTACTTTGTTCTTCTGCTGTCCAAGTCAAGCCAACAAATCCAGTGGACATTTGCTTATGAACATCCAAGCAAAAGATGGTTCTGGGCATTATTAATCTGACTTGCCATCTGTTTCAATAAACTCTGCATTTTCACCTGTCCAGACAGACAAAACTATTTAAAAATACTACAGAAAAAAAAGCTGGAAGCTGCTGAGGCAATCACCTCCTGTAAGGAATGGCACAAACCCAGCAGCAGCAGCCATGCATATGAAATAACCAGGCCTCTGTGCAACTGCTGGCTGCAGAAGATGGCACAGCTTCTCTTTTAAATATGCAGACAGGTAAATTAATCTGAAGGAGAAATTAAGTGAAATATGTCTCCAAGATAGAAAAGAGTCCTGCTCATCACATCAGGCTTTTACAACTAAAATAAAGCATTTTATGTTGTTTGTAAGGCAAATCTCTGTGTCTGCACTTAAATAAAATTCATTAATACAGATGAATACTTAGCTGAGAACTGGGCTTTCCCCATATCCATGGATTTTGCTGCTGATACCCAAACCAAGTCAGAGGAACTGGGCAGAGCAGTAAAACTCATGCACACACAACTCATCTCATGCTTTAAACCCTTCAGACGAAATTACAGGCAATATTATCACATAGAATAATTTAAAAGGGATAGGGAAAACCCTGCAGAATAAACTAATATACCAGTTGATAACTATTTTCTTCCTTTCATAAAGAATAACGACAGAAAAAATAATTTTACTTTGTTCTTTCTCTAACTGCAAGACAAATCACTAAGCCTCTGCTCTCTCAAACTTCTTCCAATAAATCTTTCATATTTTCACAGTCCTGGATCATCAGGCAACGTGGAGCTTCCAGGAGTGCAAATCCTGCAAAACACACTCTACTACAAATATATAGGTATGAGGCAAATCTGACTTATACAATCAGTTATTTCTATTATGATAATAACAGAATAATAATAAAAAAAAACCACACACACACACACACAAAATCCCCATCTCCAAATCACTTTTTCTGCTGGCCATCAACATTCTTTATCATATTAAAAATTCATAAGATCATTAAGCTCTCTAAAAACTTAAGTAGAAGAATGTAAAGCAGAACACATTTTTTTTTCCTCCCTGTGATAACAAGATACTCTAGATTTTATAAGACTTGTCCCAAGTTTGATTCAATTTAGTTTCAAATTAGCTAAAGAAGTCAAGAATTGGGTGTAGAAATCTATTTATTGACTAAGACAAATATATTTGACCGTGAAGCACACATCTTCCAGCACGAGAAAGCCTGGCTGGCCAAAAACAAAGACACGAGGCATTTTCAGGGATGAACAGTTTCCCCACAGAAACCACTCTGGAAGCAAAGAAAGGTTCAAATACTGACCCAAACTGCTCTCTTTTGTTTGTTTCCTTTTAGTGTTAATTCAAGCACAAATCTGGGTGCTAAGAAAACGCAATTTTGTCACACTGTCTGTTGCAGAAGGCAACAATCAAGCACAAAACCCAGCACAAATGTGAGCATTAATCAAATTCCTGTATAAATTTGCTCAACATCATCACACCTGCAAACTCTGAACATCTCAGTAAGCTTATTTCTGCACAACTTAAAAATCACTTTCAGTAAGAATGAGGAACAACTGCAAAACTGGGAAAAAAAAAAAAGCACAATATCATGTTGCTTTTCATCAATGCAAGCAAGTTGTTAATTCTAGAATGAAAGGCACTGGAACAGAATCCATTGCTCTAGGCAAGAGTAAACCAACATTGTATGGTGCTGAATTTCTCTCCAGATGGAAAGAAACTGTACATGAGGAAAAAAATACACAGAAGGCATCTCTTTCACTGTAGGGAAGAATCTGCCAGAAGATTTCCAGGAAAATAATCTGGTGAAACCTCCTCCCTCCAACTGCAAACCTGTAACACAAATTCAGCTAAAAATTTGACTTCTAGCTACA